TTTTTAACTAATGTTTACTGCCCTATGAAAAATTCACTATCTTCATTTTACAAATGATAAAACTGAAATGTGAAGAGAATTAACTTGCTTAAAGTTTTTCAAGTAGTATAGGGGGAACTGATGATTGGATTCAAGACTGTAAAAGTTAGTGCTCTCAATTATCCTTTCTGAACACATTTTTAGACAATTTCCCCTGGTAATTCTGAGGAAATAACCAGAATTACTGACAAAGAGGTAAAGAGATATTTATCATGACATTATTTATGACAGCAAAAGTTTATAAGTAGCTTTAATGTTATCATAAGGGAATAATAATATAGATATACTTGAGAATATTTTACAGATAATAAAAATGAAATTAAAAAATTTTTAATCTTATAGAAATTGCTTATACAATGCAAAGAGAAAAATTAGGATATTACATAAAAGAATGACTTTAGGAGCAACCCCTTACACACACATAAGAAATGACTTGAGGGAAATAGGCCAAATGTTATTTTGTTTCCCTTTACTTCTTAGTATTTTCTAGATGTTCTACAAACAGTGTATATTTTAAATTGTAAAAACGTTAGTGATTATTAATTTTAGTATTTCAATTATTAATTTGGGGGAAATTATAAAATTTTATTTATTTACCTATGTATTTAAAGAGAAGGTGAAGTTTACTTAACCTCTACTCTGTGCCCAGCACAGTGCCGGTAGCTATGAGTGATACATAAGAGAAATAAGAACTGACCTCACTTTTTAGAAATTATCCTACTACTTCTATAGGCAAAACTAACAGGAATAAATGAGCACATGATATAGGACAAATGTAATTAAATATAAAAATGATGTACTGTGAACTTTCAGGGAAACCTAGGATATTAGGGTTGGGATAATCTTGGAAAATATTTTAACTGAATAGGATTTTCACAGATGAGAGTAGAAAATTCTAGAACTATATGAGCTAGGCAAAGAGCCAGGAGGAAGTATAACATAGATGTAGGAATATAGAGAGGGTCACCCTGTTCTTTCTTTTTGTTATCTATTAGATTTCTCACTTATATGCTTCATTTATACACTTTCTCTCAAATTGATGCTATTTTTTTTTTTTTTTAGTGATCAAGACCTTTCTGTCTCTTCCCTGGTAAATGGGCAGTTATTACGTACTTAAGGGAAACCGCCTAGCACTTTGCGATGCCAAGTTTTATCTACTAACAGGTTAAGCCATCATCACCAGGGAGCATGTTAATACTACAGAACAGTGGACCCTGTTCCAGATTTCCTGAATTAAAATCTGCATTTTACCAAGATTCATGTGCACATTAATGCCAAATGCCAAAACATGAGAAATGCTGGTATGGCAAGCATCACTGTCAGAAAACAGCCTAAATCCTAGTTAAAGGAGGCAATTGCCACTTTGTTTTAATAACTAAGGTACTGACAAGGTCCTCTACCAACAAAAATTTCTGCAATTATCCTTCACTAAATACATTATGATTAGACACACTCTTTAAGGGAATAGTGGAGGATATGGGAATACTACATACTAGTCAACACTTGAGAAAAATCTTTTTACCAGATTTAGCTACAGCAAATACATGTGTCATACAGTGCAGAAAGAAAGAAGATATGGTTATTTGGATAAGTTCAGAGGTAATTAATATATAGGCTCTGATGAAATGCAGAAATGGGAGGGTTCTAGTTGCTCAGGCAGATGAAAGGGGACACTTTAAGAGCAGGGAACCTTTGTTGGGGAGGTGACCAGTCACCTTATCTATTTACAGTTTTTGTCTGTATCAAATTATAGTTTGGCTTCCTCCTTGCTTCTTCATTTGAAGAGTTCCCTGCTGCTAGAATTGGAATTTTCATTGTTACCTGCTGAATTGTTTCTAAATTGCATTAACTATAAATTCAAAGGGAAAAAAAGGTACAGTGACTGTTTTGGAATGGAGTGATTTGAAGAGGCAAAGAAGAACAGGTGGGTATAACCAAATACTATATTCTTTTGTGAAATGGTGATATTCTATTTTTCATCAAGTGCAGTTTTCTTCTGAGTTTTAATTAGCTGTTGGCTTGAGTCACCCTGAACCTTTATAGTTTTGTGGAGGAGGGACAGGCCTGTTGWTTTTAAGTATATTATTTCTGGTTCTTAGAAATGAAGTTTGGTTTCCAAAGGGCAAGATGGGTCTTTTTTAGGTTTGTTATGGTCATGACTGAAGGAGACAGGAGTAAGTGAGGAAAGAGGAAACAGATGGGTAGAGATTTGCAAGTAAGTAATAAATAATTCAAAGTTCTTGTTAAAGATGTGGAAAGTTAAGACCGCTGTGAACGAACAAAGTAAGACCTGTTATCTGCATCCCTAGGTGCTTCAAAAAGCCAAAGAAAGAATCTCCATGAAAGTGATTTCTAGGCTAAATTTCAGAGGTTTTGTGGAACCCTACATTTCATCATCCTACCTCTCACATAGAGTGACAGAGAGAAAGATTTCTTCATCATCAGGACCAATGCCTCTAGAAAAGTCCATCACAGACTGTGTGACAGAAACATTATAAGGCAAGGTGTATATTAGTCTTGCTGTATTATCTTCTGTGTTTGTAATCCTCTGATATTATCTTCTTCTTTTTATTTACTTTATCGACTAAAGGTTATAACCAGTCATTTAAAATCAGCAGGTGATGACTGCTAGATGTAGAAACTCACCATTATAGTGGGGCTGTAGTGGCGGGATGGGGATGCTTGAGCAAGGGGATTGTTTTCAGAGCTTTCCATCTTTACTGTGTGCACCCTAACTTAGGGCACACAGTGATTAATTTTTTTAAATATAAATAACTCAGTTCTGGTATTGAGGCTTGCAGAAACATGAGATTAAAGTCATTTTCTACAGGAACACTTCCCCTTCTTTTTACAGTATATTCTCAAATTCAGTAGATATTTTTAGTCACACAGTGCTTTTCCATTTTTGCCTTACAGACATCTCAGATGATAACTTAAGCAGTAGTACTTTACAGATGTAGATGTGTCAACTTATTTGCCAAAATAACTATGTGACTCATGTTTTTATCTCACATTGAGATAAAAATTGTTTTAAAAAAGTGGTGAAATGTTTTTTGAGAGTGTAATTCTCAAAAGACAGTTTTATACAGATTAAGTTAATGACTTTTTAATATCTGATAGTGTAAAACTAGTGACATGGGGAGRAATTAGCAACTAATGGATGGCATACATAATCTGTAATTCTATGAAGCAAATGTTGCTGAATGTATAAAGCTACAGATTGTGGTATCCTTATTCAGCATCCCGTACATTTCACCTGCAGGAAAAGTAGACTATAGTGTTTTCATGCAAGTGTTGAAAAACCATTAAAAAAATCAGTCAATGGAAAAATCTTTACTGGGTACCTTCTACAGTCAAGACACTGTGCTAGGTACTTCAAGGGCAAAGTTTCTTTTCTCAGGAAATTTTAACATTGTTTTTCCCTAATTTTCTGAGATCTTATGAAATATATTCTGGGAATTTTTTTCCCAAGAAACTCCTTAGGGTTAGAAGTTAATTTTCTAGGTAATTTTGAGAATTTTATTCCTCCACACAAGCACCATCCAGATAATAGGCCAAAATGCCTTTAGTAAAATTCAAATATATTATAATAATAATTTAAAAACTCAGATGTATTCTAAGCAAGGCAATATCGAAATAACTACTTTACAAAATAATTTACACTATTTAATCAAAACACCAAGAAACTGTGCCTGTGAATAATTCTACAAGGACATGGAGAATAAGCATGTTAGTGGTAGTATATGCTGGTATAACCACTTATACTGCACTAGTAAAGAAAACTAAACATTTAGTGTCTTATCTGCATAAGATAGTGTTTCTGAAATATCCTATATAGATCTTGCAGATTCCAAATTGGTGATAGGCGTGTGGCAAACCTGCCTGTCACTCTGTCCCAGAGTGACAATTTTTTCATTCTTCATTCTCTACTTTTCTAACCCTTTCCCCTAGGCTGCTAGTTCTGGTAACTAACCTGTCTTCCCTTCTCCTGGAATATATTTCTCTAACTGAACTGTCTACCTGATAGAGATCATAAAAAGTTAAAAACATAAGTAGGTATCAGTGTCTGTGATTTCCTAAATATATCCTACACTGACAGTTTGGCTTAGCCAAGAAAAAATTAGAGTAGAATTTAGATACAAAAAGTGGGGAAGTGACATTCAGTCTTAAGATACGAAAATGGCATAGCAGGAAAAAGAGAAATTGAGGGGAAGAAAGGAGTCAGAGAACAGTGATTAATTGGCAAGTGATACATTGGGAGACAGGAAAGTGAAGAGAAAGGAACATATAATGGAGGAGGTGAACATAAAGAAGAAGCTAATAATGGTTAAAGATAGCCTTCTTAGGATGTTAGAAGTGATAGAGAAAAAGATGGAGAAGAAAAATTAGAAAGGTAAATATAGAATGGTTGAGGGAGAAAGAAAAGAATAAAGGTAAGAAAGTAAATGATAAAGGTAAAGAGAGAGGCATTGGAATTTAAAAAATGCCAAGAATATTAACTAGGAAAAAATTCGACAAAAACCAACACACACAAAAGAAATATAGAGTGCATCACAACTAAACTGATATTTAGATCTCCATATATAAAATGAAAAGTTCATCTGCCTTTCAGACATGCAAAACCAGACAATTTTGTAAGTAAGGAGAAAAAAGAAACATCAAAAAAAAAAAAAAAGGAACAAATCTAGAGAAGTGGTTTCCAAGTTTCAGGGCAGGGGTGGTCATGACCTTCATGCTGTTTCTTATGTCTGCACTTAATATGTGAAAGTGCTGGATCCAACTATCCCCAGAGGCTCAATCTCATTAACTTCACCTGAGCCACTATTCCTACTGATGGGAGAAACTTAAGGATCACCAGGAGGGTCATATAATTAAGTCTTGGGTGGGGAGGAAGTTTGTGAACCATTGGTATAGAATATTAGTTATTTTCCTTCCCCAAGAACATTTGATTAAAATAATTCCTAGACCTGAAGTAATAAGCAGTCTTGTATATGGTCCTGTGGATTGGTCCCTCTTTGAAAGGATTCAAATGGAATGTGTTCATCTGCATTAAGTTGGTCTACATTTATATTCTTAAATGGTTCCTCAGTAGCTAACCCAAGCAATGTATTAGGATTTTCAGTAGGTATAGTTAGATCCCCATCAAATTGGCCTTGCCTTCCATTGCTAGATGGAGTTCCAGTGCTGGAAGAGTGAAGCTTTGCTAATTTGGAGCCAAAGCATGGTACGTGCAGGATGCTAGGTGGTCTTTGTTGCTGTCTCTCACCCTCATTTTCTTGGACTTCATTTTGAATGCCTTCAGGCTTGGAGCCTTCATCAATGGTACCAATAACAAGTTGCTCAGGAGTAAGGGCAACAGATCTTTCATTGAGCTGGTTTCCTTCAAAAATTTGTTCTAGAATATTGTTCCTATCTCCTCCAAGATCATTCTTGAGACACGGTATATTTTTTGATTGAGGAGAGCTGGTCTCAGAAGAGGACATCATTCCTGTTTGGTCCAGTTGATTCTTTACAGAACATGGTGTATTCCTTCTCAGAGTGGACACATCCTCTCTAAAAGGACTTGTGTTTTGGCTTTCCCCAGGCAGTTTCTTCTCTGAGCTGTTTCTTTGACCAGGGAGAATGTTTGTTGGGGAGACAATAGGTCTTGTATGCTTGGTAAGACTACTTTCTGTGTACATAGGGTTGGTGGCTTGGTTCTCCCCTGGTGCAAGATTGTAGGATGAAGTGTAATCTTGAAGAGCCAGTGGATTGTCCTTGTGTCCCGTGGAGCCACTAACACAGCAAGAACCTCTTGGGCTGTGGTGAAATAAATGTGCTTCTTTTTGTCCTGATGGGTAGCTTTGAGGAATGAAGTCTGGGAAAGCCAAATGTTGTCTCTCTGGTGAATTTAAACTAGTAATTTGCATGTCATAGTTCAAATTCTGACCTTCCTGCCATGTTGGATTTTTCTGAAGCCCGGCTGGGGTATTACTGGAATAGGGATTGTTCTCTTTCTGGTCTGGTAGACTAGCTTTCTGTGAATTTGTTGCCTGATCCCAGAAATTTCTGTTGAAATATGACTCTCTTTCTTTCTGTCCTTGGGGTTGAATCCTGTGGTCCCAGGAGTTCCATGAAGGAAAGAAAGTGCTTTCTTCTTCTCCAATAGCATTATTACCATAATAGCCCCTGTTCTCCACAGGTGGTGATATAGTGGGACCTGGATTATATGATGGAAAAGTCTCTTCTGGGCTCCAGGGATAAAATTCACTATAAGGAAAGTCTTCCTTGGGTTTTGATGGATTATCTAAGGAAGAGGGAGGATACTGCTTTGGTTGATTTGAAGCATATTGCTCGCCTTCATAGAGCCTCACTGTTGGACTTCCTTTAAAGCTCAACTCTTCCTCACCCCATTTACTTCGTGCTGGAAAAGATTCATCTCCAGTTGGATCTATTGGGTCCTCTGCATTGTAATGGACTGTCTCTTTCTGCACTAGAGTATTCATAGAGTACCATGGATTTTCTGGTTGCCTTATAGTATTGGGAGAATCAATTCTCTCATCCCAGATATTGCTTCTAATGTATGGTAAATTTTCCCTGGGATAATAGGGGTTATATTCATGGTAGAAAATACTTCCTCTAGAGCCTTGGGATGGCTGTGGCAAATGTTCTTCTTGCCTCCCAGGATCTTCCTTAAAGTATGGAGGAATTTCTTTGTTGCTCCAAGTATTTCTTCCAGTAGGAAAATGTTCTCTTGTAGTAGAGGGAATTTCCTCAGGGTATACAGGCTGTTGTGTACTGTGCTTTAATTCAGGCTGATTAGTTTCTGATTCATATGGGATTCTTCTTGGTTCTAAAGCAATACCTTTGGGCAAATTCTGACTTTGGGTTTGTACATCAGAACTTGGTGCTTTTCTGGAATCTCCTCTTGGAAAATAAGAATTTTCACGTTGATTAATAGAATTAAAATTTGGACCTAGCATATTGTCCTCGGGGCGAAGTGATTTATAATTTGGTTTATTAACTCCATAATGTTGAGAGGTTTTCCAAACACCAGCTGTATCCTTTGTAGGACTGATTATTCTATCTTTTTGGCCTAATGATTTTTCTTGTGGATTTTGAATTTTTTCATTGCGGCCAACAGTAGCCTGTTTGGGGCCCAAGGGTATGACATTGGTTCCCATAAGGTGTTTATTTGGTGTCTGAGGCTTTCTTCTGAAATTTGCTGGATTTCCTGCATAATTGGGGTAATTGACTCTTGAAGTGGGAGGATAAGCTTTACGATAAGTTGGATTTCCTGGCCGAGTTGCTTGTTTGCCTTCCCAAGCTAAGGAATTCCACCGAGGACCCCGTTGAACTTGTTGATTTCGGTATAAAGGCCCATACTGTCTGTGTCCCATGGCAGTACCAGTGGGATGCCATTGTCTTCCAGTAGGAGGATTTCGGATGTTAGGATTTGGGTAAATTTCATGAATATTTGGCTGACTTGGTCTCCATGGGATTTGACTTCTGGGCCCTCCCTGGCCTGAAACATTAACTGAAGGGGGTGGGAAGACACCATTTTGAGCTGTAGGGTTGCTCCCAGTGTTGGGTACTGGGGCATTATTTCCTATTGAGTAGGTGTCATTTCCACCTTGACTTCTTCCAGGATTTGGCTGGGTAGAATTAGTCTCAGTAACTGTTGAATTAGCTGAGGGTTCTGCGGGTGGACTCTCAGCTTTAGGAGGATCTTTTTCTTTGGGTTTTTCAATATCATCAAACATCTCTTCTGAATAATAAGGGGGGTGACCTCCAAAGCCATGATATCCAAAATATCCAAAATAAGGATTCTGTAGGAAAGGAAATGGAAATCAATAATTATTCTTTGTTTCCTACTTTGGTGTTGCTTGGAAATTTATAGTGTAATACGGAAATCTTATCAGCCACATTCTCAACTTAATTGGCTGTGTTTTATTTCTTGAAATTTGATTATTCTTTTTCCATGACCCTGTCTGCTCATTTTTGGTTTTCTCTTCTGGTATTCTTTCTGACTATTAGGCCTAGATTTTAAATCTGAGGGTTAAAAAAATTTTTTTGTTGTTGTTCTATACTTTATCCTCCTTACTCTGCTGTTCTTGTTTTACACACATACCTGGAGCAGAGTGCATGCTAATACTTCCAGTAGGAATCCATACTGATAACCCCCAAAGGCCTACAACACTTTCTCTTGAGGGTAAGACAGCGAGGCTGCTTCACTAAAGATTTTGTGAGTACTTTTAATTGAATATACCTAGAACTGGGATCATCTCCTCTAAAACCTCCTTCAACATTCTATATTTAAGAAGTACAATCAACCCAGTTCCCAGATTTCTGCTCTAACCCTTATTTCCCCAATTAATTACCAAGTCCTAGAAAATCTAAACTTTCATATTGTCTCATCTTTATCCCCAGTACTACTGAACTGTTTTAATGATTTTCTTAATGCCTGCTCTATATGTAATCTTACTTTCCTCTAATCTTGCCTCTTAATTGCTATCAGAGTAGTGAAGGCTAGGGATGGGCATGTGGAAATCCTTCCACTTTCCTCTTTTAATATAAATGTATTTAAAGTTCCTTACACCTTACAGGATAAAATATAAACCCTTTAGCATAAAATAGAAAGCAGTACAGCTTAGTGCTAAAAAATGGGGCTCTAGACAGATGTGGGTTAACATCTGTATTCTACAAGTGTTAGTACTGTGACTCTTGACTTACCTCAGTTTATTCATTTGTAATGTGGAGATAATAATAAAATAATATCAACTTTATAGCTTGTTATGAGGGTCAAACGAGGCAACATGTATAAAGTTCTGTGCCTGGAACTTGGGAATTGATAATAAGTGTTATACATAAGATGATGATGATGATGATGATGATGATGATAATAATAATAATAACAATAACTTTTAATGATTGTCTGAGCTATAAGTATTACATTCAGCTTCATTTCCTCCTCCTTGTACTTAATGCAATTGTAAATCACTGTTACTATTAGTTTTCTGGAAACTCAGTTCTCTTTATGAACGTAAATGTTTCATGCCTTTGCACATGGCTTCTTTATATCCAACCTTCTCCCACCTACACGTTTATCCTTTCTGGCAAACTTGACTCATCCTTCAGGACTCAACTTGACTGTCTGTACTGACTTCCATGGGCAGAATTAGGCTCTACTGCCAGGTGTCCACAGCAATACCAATTTTTGTCATAATAATCATCCCACTGAATTTCAGTTGCTTATATTCCTGGGTTCTCCCGCTTGATTTTCCCATGTGAAATTTTTGAATGAAACATGTTTCTCATCTTAGTTTTCCAGTATCTATCACAGTAGGAAGTGTGTAATAAACGGTCATTTAATGATTTAATCATCATAAACTCTGTAAATTTCTAGACATTTGTGAAGCATTTAGGTAACTTAGTTTTTGTTTTAAAACAAATTCAATTCCAAGAAAAAGTATTTTTATCCCCATTTGTGTATACAGATGATGAGAAAGATGAATGATAAGAAATCCCCATCATTCTGGCGATGGTGGCAGTGGCCCCAACTGGTAGAATATGGACTTAATGTCTATACTAATTGCCTGGATTATTCTGTTTCATTTTCTCATGTTATATTTGTGAAAATCTGAAGTACCAATTTTTAGGTTAGATTGCATGTAATTATATGCATCATTTTTCTTTTGGGTTTTTACAATATTTAAAGTACTTTATTTTTTAAAAAAAATTTTAGTTGGGGATATAGCTTTATTTATTTATAAGAGGTGCTGAGAATCAAACCTAGTGTCTCACACATGCTAGACAAGTACTCTTCCACTGAGCTACAACCATTGCCCTAATATTTAAATATATATCATCATTGACTTAGTAATCTTCACTCTCAACTGGTTTAAGGACACTTTTTCTCTCTCCTCACCAAACTGTTCTGCATTTCACTAAGCACATATCATACATTTAGGGAAAAAGAGGAAATAAGCTCTAGGGGTGGGGTCTTATGCCATAACTGCTAAAATGACATTTTTGATGACATGGTGCTGGAATATTTTAAGAGTATATTACCCTGTGACAGAGTGTGAGGTAGTAAAAAAAGATTGGACTGGATATCAAAAGACTTAGATTCTGGGTCCAGTTCATCCACTAAGTAAGTAGACAAAACTAAATCGTGATTTATCTTGTCTGGACTTCAGTTTATTTATACAATGAGGGATCTAAATGATCATTAAATTCCTTTCTGAAAATAACATTGTATGATGCTCTTAACTTCCTTCTCTGTTTATTACTGTCTGAGCTTATTAGCTTTCTTAGCAAGTGTGTGAGGGAGATCTTTCAATGCATGTAGAAGAGAAATGATGTGTCACATTTTACTTAGGCTACTGACTTGATTTGTTTCACTTTTTTTTTTTAAGTTTTGGGAACGTGAGCTATAGAAAGTTCATATGTTGGATTTGAGCTTTCTTACTAGATGCAGATTAAAAAATATTACCTTAGGGCTGTGGTTATGGCTGGGGCTGCTGTTGTGGCTCAGTGGTGGAGCATTTGCCTCACATGTATGAGGCACTGGGTTCAATCCTCAGCACCACATAAAAATAAAGGTATTGTGTCCATCTACAACTAAAAAATATTTTAAAAAATAGTACCTAATAGACTGTAATTTCTAATAGAGAATGTAACTTACTCCTTCTTCATTGCTGAGTGGTAGACGTCCATAACGTGGTGGCGGTACCCTCTGAAAGGTGAAAAACATAGGGAATACAAGAGAAAACCCCCTTATGCTGCCATTTGTTTATAGGACTGAAGGTACGTTAAATTAGCTCAAGTCAGTATTGGATGTTCGTAATATGAACTTTTAGCTTCTGAGTCATTAGATCTCACTAACTATAAAGAGTTATCCTACTCAAAATACCTTGTATAGCCACATRTGTTAGCCATCACTCCACCCAACTACTTCCAGCATTCCTAACCTCCACCCCCTCATCACACCTTGCCACACACCACTCCACACATGGGGGAGGGAGACTGTGGAGGGGAGGGAGGGAGAGAGATAGAGAGAGAGGGAGGGTGGAAAAAATAAAGGTATTGAAATTGAAATTTGAGTGATATTAAACATTCATATTTGAACATCTAGTAATAGAGATTGAATAATGTTATTTTTAGAATGTGTGCATCATATTTAGGGTCAATTTTCCTAATCAAATTTGGAGGATGAATTTCTGCTCAGTGATTTGCAAAGTGGGAGGGTTTAGAAAAGTAGCTTGGTTCCTATAGACTTTCTTTCTTTCTTTTTTTTTTTTCCAGACAGGGTCTTATTAAATTACTCAGGCTGGCCTTGAAGTTGTAATTCTCCTGCCTTAACCTCCCAAGTAGCTGGGACTACAGGCACATGCCATGTAGGGGGATAGATTTTCAAGAAGTTCTATGTAAAGGAGATTAATAGTTACTTTGGCATGAGAATCATGCTATTTTAAAAATATTTACCTTGAATTGCTTTAATTTTTTTTAGTTTATTATGGCCAGTAAAAGGAAGTTGCTTTTTTAAGGGGGTGGGGGAAAGGAACTCAGTTGGGTGTGGTGGCATGTCTGTAATCCTAGCAACTCAGGAGGTTGAGGCAGGAGGATCCCAAATTGAAGACCAGCCTGGACAATTTAGGGAGTTCCTGTCTCAAAATAAAAAATAAAAAAGGTTGGGGATGTAGCTTAGTGATAGAGAACCTTTGGGTTCAATCTTAGTACTGCAAAAATCAAAAACAAAACAAAAAGTAGAACAAAACAACAAAAGAAAGGAACTCATACTCCTTGAAATGAATTGTTCTTGTTGATAAGCTCTTTCCATTAGAGTTGTGAACAACAACAAAAAATCCATGGTATAGCTGAATGTACATCACCAAGTATTTCTTGATGTTGTTTTAGGTTTTTTTTTTTTTTTAAGACAAGTAGTCTTTACTATTAACTTAATTCAAATAGTTTATTTTGCCACCAATATTTTTAATGCCTATGGCATAATTTCAATATTTAATAATTTTAAATCTTTAATAATTCTTTGAGTGTTCTTTATAAATATCATTCTGGAAGGTTCTGTGTTATGATGTATCTGTGACTAGAAACACTAAGGTATGATGAAAAGATCTTGTAGTTTTAGTTGTAGATGGACACAATACCTTTATTTTATTTATTTATTTTTATGTGGTGTTGAGGATTGAGCACAGTGCCTCACACACACTAGGCAAATACTCTACCACTGAGCWACAACCCACCCCCAAGATCTTAGCTTAATCATAGCTTACCCTATGTTTTTCAAACTCTGTTTACAGTCAATTTCCCCATTACATTAAATGAAGACATTCATTGTGTTTTGTAATCTCATAGGGAAGTGGGGTTATAGCTGTTTGGTGATTTAGGCAGTGTTCATGCCATTAATTAGTCTGAACAAAAAAATTCATTCAAAAATTATCATTTTCCTGCATGGTTACAGATGTGATAATTTTTGTTTCATATTCTATTGATTAGAATGTGGCWTTCTATTACAGCATCTGAACTTGTATTAATTTAAGATATAACTTGCTAATAYTATTTTTTGTTTCTAGTGTCAAGATAAAACATTTTTACCTGTGGAATTGGCCAGGGTGGTTGGCCATAGGGAAATAGTCCATTGCCAAATGGTGGGAATGCCTTGAGAGAAAGAAAGAATCAGAGTTATGTGGAAGTGAGAAAAATGAATATTATTATTTGAATCTTGGGGGACTTTTATTTCCTTTTGCATTAAACTATGTTTATTTTAGGGCAGAGATAATAATAATTACTATATTGAACCTTTGTGTTTCAAGTACTGTGCTTAACATTATATATTGTTAAACTCATATAATGCTCAGATAACCATGGAAGATAGGTACTTCATTATTTCCATTTTATTTAAGAATCCGAGACTCATAGAAGGTAAGTTACTTGCCCAGATTCTCATGGCAGGGGAATGATTGAAACCAGGATTCAAATCCAGTGGTGTCTTTTTATTTCTTTTTATTCAATTTTGTATTTCCTGTATTATAATTGTGATAATAAATGACCCAAAACCATTGATTGAGATTTTGAGAAAACATTTGCACATCTTCTTGTCTTATTTCAGGACTGCATTTATGTCATCTGAAATACTAGAAGTAGTATTTATTTTAGAGCAGTATTTTAGGTCATCTAAGTGTGGATCTAGAAAGGACTTAGAGACCATATAGTTTATTCATGGGGAAACAGTTGTCTATAAAGGTGAAGTGACTTTCTCATGATCATAAACCAATAAAACTTGGGGGTAGAACTTAAACCTTTGTTTCTTGACTCTTACTCTCGMAGCCATTTTTGTTATACCATATTGACTCTGTGTTTTAAAAGGATCTTCTTTAAGTCAATTTATTTGAATAATTTTGAACCAAACAAGGTTGGAGTTGACTCTTCAGACAGTTTTGGATAAATGTCAGAACCCAATATCATATTACATATAACAGAACCTGTATTAAGTTTTAGAGGAAGTGTGTATTCAGGGATGATATGGACCTCCAAATACATTTTATGGCTTTTACTGACTTTGATTTGGGATTTTTTTTATGGGTGAGCCTTACCTGAGGAGGTTGGGTTTCTTCTTTGCCCTGAGTTGTGGCTTGTGGTGGCTGCTTTAAAGGCTGTTTTTGTGGTGGATTTTTTGGCTGGGTTTGGTTGGGTTTCTGTGTCTCTTGGGTTTGATCAGTCTTGGTCTGGTGTTGGGGTTCTGGGGGATTCTGCCATGCATTGGGTTGTGGCTGAGGCCACATGGGCATCTGGTACTGTGGAAATGGCTGAGGGATTTGAAAACCATTTCCATAAAGGCCCATATGTGCCATCTGAAAGAGTAACAAAAAACAGTGAAACCACATTAGGGTTGATATTTAGACTGTCCCTACCCTCTAATATTAGTCTCCAAAACCCATCCTAGGAGCTTAAAAATTCTATGGAACTTGGCTCCACAATGGAAGCTTCAGACTCTTTAGCAGGAACTTTTTTACATAAATGAACTTATCTATAAAATCAAACTAACCAAAGCTCAGAATTCAATGAGAAGTTTATTTCAGAATTTGATAATTTTCTAACTCTGAAATCCTGACTCAGGTAAGCAGTGTAAAGTTAGAGACAGTTCTCAGAAGAAAATATACAATGGATCAACAAATATATGAAAAAATGTTTAACTTCTCTAGTAATGAGAGAAATGCAAATCAAAACTACTCTTAAGATTTCATCTCACTCCAGTCAGAATGGCAGTTATCAAGAATACAAGCAATAATAAGTGTTGGCGAGGATGTGAAGAAAAAGGTACACACATGTATCATTGGTGGCACTGCAAATTCTTCCAACCACTATGGAAAGCAATATGGATATTCCTTAGAAAACTTGGAATGGAACTACCATTTGACCCAACTATTCCATTCCTTGGTCTATACTCAAAGGACTTAAAATCAGCATACTTTATAGTGACACAGCCATATCAATGTTCATAGCAGCTCAATTCACAGTAGCTAAACTGTGGAACCAACCTAGGTGCCCTTAAACAGATGAACAGATGAAGAAATTGTGATACATATACACAATGGAATATTAGTTAGCATTAAAAGAGAATAAAATTGTGGTAAATAGATGGAGTTGAAGATTATCATGCTAAGCAAAGTAAGCCAATCCCCCAAACTAAAGGCCGAATGTTCTCTCTGATAAGTGGATGCTGATCCATAATGGGGGTTGAGGGGTGGGCATGGGGGAGAATGGAGGAACTTTGGGCAAAGGGGAGGGAGGGAAGGATAGCAGGCATGGGGGCAGGAAAGTTGGTGGAATGAGACGAATGTTATAACCCTAGGTACATATATGACTGCACATGTAGAGTGTATATCTACATCGTGTACAACCAGAGAAATGAAAAGTTGTGCTCCATTTGTGTACAGTGAATTGAAATGCATTTTGCTGTCATGTATAACTAATTAGAACAACAACAACAACAAAAAAGAAGTGTACAAGTTAGGTTCCAGGGAGTTTGATGTCAAACTCAAACCCAGTGTGACTTGTAATAAGGCAGGATAAAAAGAACAAAAAGGAAAAAGAAAATAAAGTAAGTGTGACTATAATGCAAAGTAGAAACACAAGCAAAAAGGACAAAACAACAACAAGAACAAGAACTCCCAAACAGAAATAATTAAAATTCTGTGTAAACACCCTTATATGGTGCATATATTTCTTGATTACAGACGGAACCTCTTTAATGCTGCTTTTTTCAGAATTTCCCCAGTTACAGGGTTGAACAGGAAAGCAAAAGTCATTATAATCTGAAAATGATTATTCATGAATTGATGTTAGTCTTGCAATATCAATCCCCATGATTTCCTCCCTGATTTAATGCCAGTCTCTATCTCCAGTCTTCATTAATTAGTCTCTTACTATCTGCTGGATGATTACATATGACAATGCATATGATACAATCAAACAAATGTTATTGATGGAAGGCACTAAAACCAAGAATGAGGATGTGAAAAAGTTGGACCAAAGAGAAATTGAGGGAGAGAATATTGAAAATGATGATGATTTTAGGCAAAGATCTTCAAGAGAGAATGACTGGATAAGTTCATGCCCCCCCCTGCCATCAATGGCCATCATCATCATGCCACAAAAGTCAAAAGTGACATGTTGGGTTGTTTTGCAAGTTTGTTAGAAAATTACACTAAAATATACAACTGACACTTGATTCATGTACTACTTTTTTCTAAGAATTAGCACAGTGATAAGAATAATCCACGTTTATTTCAATAAAATAAAAAAAACCTCTTTCACAATTTTAGTGTTATCTGTCAAGACAATACAAATAAAATTTACTACCCCAAATATTTATTATGTTATTTTTATTATGCTATTCTTATTGTTATTGTGAATATGTTATCTGTGATATTTTCCTAGAACCAATTTTTTATATGAAGAACCCTTGTAATTACTGGATGATTTTTATTTATGGGAGAATAATAGTAATGAAAAGGAGGAAAATTTACCAAGGAGGGACAAATGAAATGACTTTCCCCTTTGAAACTTTTATAGCAATTATATGGTAATTAAAATGTATGTAGCTATTAATGTCTCTATTAGCTAAGTAAAACCTTATAATGTAGTTATTGGATTTAAACAAGAAATCCTCAGAAATGCTATAAAGAAGAACTTACATGTGGGGCATTCATAAAGTTGAATGGACCAAAACGCATCATCTGCAATGAAAAGGATCCATTAATGTGGAAAAGGTTTTATTTAGTTAATTCACAATTGATAAGCAAGTTGAATTTCTGATTTTTAAGGAACAGTAATTATAATGTCTTTTATTAGTTACACACAGATTTAAAATAAGCATATATAAAAACTTTTAGGGCATTTTACGTTAGAATTTTCAGAAGAATCAATATAGAATGATAGATATAAACATCTGGTCTACTTTGTTGTTTTAAAATGTTCTGTTCTCTTCATTTGAAGTTCAGAATTTGAGAACAAGATAATTCTCTGATGATTCTTCTTTCTGATGTGCATTGAATTTGGTTAGTGATCCCTGTATGAGTATATAAAAGATATTTATATGCTTAAGCATCTACTGTCTAACAACCTTTGGTACAAGTGACTACTTTTTCTAGCTAACAAAATTATCCAAAAAGCTGATTTTAACATAAATCAGAAAAACCAAATTTTAACATAAATCCATCTTTAACTTAAAAAGAAATATTGAAGCAACCAGATAGGATCATGCTGGAGGGAATTAGCCTTGATTTGAGAGTTTAATACTTGCAATGCTTCCTCCCTTTACCTTTTTCATTAGAAATTTTAATAAGAATTTCAAAATTCATGAGAAATTTTGCTAGTACTCTAATTTTTTTGAACTTAAGAGGATAAGGCCCTGGGAAACTTTTCCCCTCATACTGAGCATACATACCTCTTCACTTTTACTGCTAAATCCAGGCATTCGGGGCATATGCATCTGGAACTGAGAGAATATCAGTGACAAATGCAGAACCTTAGTTGAAATAAGCCCAACAACTATTCCCAAGCTATGTAACAATAGAACACAAAGAAAAGGCCTAATATTTAAAAAAAATACTCACTGGCATAGCAGCAGAATTACCAAGAAGACCTAGAAAGACCAGGAGAATCTTCATTTTTCCACTTGATACCTAGAATACAAAACTGAATATTATTTTTGTACTGTGAAATATTGTGCTTAGGGCACTCTGCAGTTATTTAACTGCCAATCAACTTATCTGTCAAGCAAAGTACAGAAATACAAGGTGTCTCTGCTCTTTCTTATGTTAAGAAATCAGTATTACCTAGTACTGTTCCAAGTTGTCCAAAGTATCAGATTAGAAAGGAAAGATAGGAGAGAGAAAGAGTGAGAAAAAGAATAATGATGCTTTGGAAGATGGTTCATAACATTAAAATATGGAAATTAGAAATTAAGAAGTAACCTAAAAATAGGAATATTTATAATTTTGAATTTCTAGTTCTAAATTGGATTAAAAAGGCATAATAATATCCAACTACATTCACTTTAAGAAATAATTTCAATTTCAATGAATATCCATTAGGACTTTGTATTATTAAGATGTTATAAACAACATTCCATTATATAGAAGCTCATTAATATTCGAATGAAACTGGAATATTCCAAAATCCTATTTTTCTTCTTTCCTCTATTATTCATTTTATTATTTTTAAAATAATAAATAATAAGTAATTTATTATTTATTATAATAAATCATTTCTGCTCAAGGGCTGGTCAGGAAAATAGGAAGAAATAGGCAGACATGCAAGCTTATCTCTTTGTTAGATAAGTAACAGTTGTGACTTGTGTTTAGTATAGGTTTCAACAAGTGGATGCTTTCTAAATGTTTCTAAGATAATAAATCAAGATATGGGGAGCCTTTGTTTAATTTCTCTCAATCATACATTTCATCTSTGTAGTAGCTGTCACAACGATTTTTGCTAGTTCTGCACACTCATGAAGGAAGATATGGAATTTTATTTTACTTATATAAAATGCCACTTACTTTCTCTTTTGTAAAGTTGATGTATTATGTTAGATGATTCTTAATATCCACATTACCTCTAAAAGTGCATAATTGGATGTAAGTCTATGATATTTTTTGAATTGAAAATGATAGTGGTTTATTTCTATGAAGTACAATGACTGTGTAAGTTCTTCCATTTYGTCTGTGAACACAATATGCTTTGGTTTTTCTGATGTACTTAAATAGTGTTTTGTGCTCTCAAATATACTTCTGGTAATGTCTAGTTTCATAAGATAGATATTAGGAAAAATAAGTGAAAATACTCACCAAGTTATATAACTTAGGAAAAGAGGCTCCATTCCTGCACTGAAGCAGCAACATTTTTCACCAAAATTTTCATAAGCTTTTGGAAAAATTAAAGATAAAGTATGAAAAGAAACTCAAATATACAAGCGGAACAAAGAAACAAACAATAGCAAAGCTTCACCTCTAAGGAAGCACATGTCATGTTAACCATTTTATCCAATCACACCCTTATTAGAGGATCCTCAAAATCAGGCTTAATCGTCTGTTGTTTTAAGATTAAGATGAGAGCTCAATGAAAGAGAAAATGACATAGGCATTGTATTTTTGAGATTACTTGTAGTACATTGTTGACAAAGCTTGACTTTCTTATGGGGGAAATGTATAAAGATACCATATTAAAGGAGTTCTAAATAGTTAGGAAGAAAATGCATAGATAAACATACCAAATAAACCAAAGAGTTAAATTTTTTATCAGAAGATTAGTCTACAAATATGATGGTACAATCAACATAAATGCAATAAGGAAATCAGTTGACATCTATGAATTCAGTTCATTATTTGGCACTATAAATTTATGTTGACAATATCTAATACTCACCCAATGCCGGTTGGAAACTGCAATATATAAAAAAACTAAGCGTTTACTTGAACTTTGTTTGCCTGTCTTTGAAATATATTCCTAATGATCTATAGTGGAAATGAAAATAAATTGCTGAAGCCAGGGAGATCCAAGGAGCAAGGCAAATTTATTTTTTAATAATAAAACAAAAATTCTTCATGAATATATCATGTTCAGTACCAAAAGGCTTAAAATAAAAAAAGATTCCTCCTTCACAGAAAGCTTGGCATAGCAAGATCACATTTAAGCACTGATGTAGACATGTATAACCAATCAGCTTTGAGGAAAAAGGTTTTGCCATCACAAGAGTTTAAGGTAATACACACACACACACACACACACACACACACACACATCACACATGTTATTACAGGAGTTGTCAAATCAAGTCTCTTATTATATATAATTACAGTTCAGGGAAATGAGCTTACAGCAGTAAGATTTAGAAGATGCTTTCCTTGTGAATTTGGTTTTGAAGTATAGAAACATCATTTATACAAATATTTGGGGAACAAAGGTGAATATTAACTATTTAGTATTGTCATCAATCACTGGCAATCACTAGAAGGCAGAACAACATATATATATATATATATATATATATATTCAATTTAATATGTTTAATATATAATCAGGATGAACTGCAATGTTATATCCATTTATAACTCAGTGACTTGATTTGATTTGTATTATGTTAAGACCATGAGGACCTAGTTTCTTTTTTAAAAAAGCATTTTAAAATATGTTGTTTTTAGTTGTAGATGGACACAATACCTTTATTTTATTTATTATTTATTTTTATGTGGTGCTAGGCATTGAACTCAGTGCCTCATACGTGCTTGGCAAGCCCTCTAGCACTAGCACCCCAGGGCCCTAGTTTCTTATTAAAGTCAAATATAGTTCAGTCATTGATTTAGAATTTTTTAAAAGCTGGTTAAAATGGCAAGTGAACTCTCAGCTACTCGTGACAGTACAACCCTATGAAAAGAGGAACAAAGAAATTCACTGAAGTGGTTATGTTATGGATTTTTTTCTGCACTCTGATTTTTCATGAGAAAGATTTCACTTCTAAATAAGTCAAATTATACTTTCCATTGACAAAAGCAAACTTTGCTATCTTTATTGAACTTTATTGTTTTCTTATAGTTCCATGAGATAAAATGTTTGTCATGTTGATGCTTGCTTAGTTTAATGCTGGTATTTTACAAATTGAGAATAATTGAATTTGATGCCAAAAGCTGGTTTCTACTTGGTAATGTTGTGTATGTGAGTTCAACCAGTTTTTGTATATGGTGCTATTCTTCCAAGACATGAGAAGTGCCATGTCTATTATTTTGGGCCAAATAACATTGCATTTCTTAGCAGTCCTGCTCCCAAAGTTTAGTACCACAAAGAATAAAATTGTGCTAGAATAATCACTTTTAAGCCAGAAATATTTAAGTTTGTATGTATTCAAGATATTCAAAGTGTTTCTGCTTCAAGTATGTGGCTGCCTTTGTCTGGTTTTGTAGAAATGAGTAGCAATTATAATACTTTACATTGAGATGAATTTGCAAGTGGTAGGACACCTAGGAGACAGTATATTCTTAGAGATGAATGGAACTTTTGGTGCTAGATGACCCTACTATATGCCTGTACCATTCATGTAAACTAGATTTTTAATTTTGACTTTAGCATACATTAGGTTATTGGGAGTTGCTATTAAACCTCACTGTTACCTGCTTTTTCTATTTACTCTTGTTTCCATTGCCACAAGAGTTATTGGTTGTCATGAAATAATTCATATTTCTAAAATCCATGCTAATTAGTGAGTGAACTTTTCACTGTTGGATTGGATTCAGAAAATAACCAAAGCTCTTTTTTCTTAAAAATGAAAACCCCAAACTAAAGAACTGTTTTGAAACAGTTCTTTGTGACTTTCCCCCCTTTATTCCAACCATCATTTTTATTTTATAAATTATTTTTGTCTCCAAACAATTTAAAACCATTGGTGAACATGTTTTTTAACTTAGTTTTAAAATTTTTTAAAATATATTCTTTGTTGTTTTTCATCTGTATTTCTTTTTATGTAAATTTTTTATTTATATATGACAGCAGAATGCATTACAATTTTTATTACACATATAGAGCACAATTTTTCATATCTGTAATTGTATATATAGTATATTCACACGAATTCGTGTCTTCATACCTGTACTTTGGATAGTAATGATTATCACATTCCACCATGATTAATTACCCTATGCCCTCTCTCTTCCCCTCCAACCTCTCTGCCCCATCTAGGTTCATCTGTTCCTCCCGTGCTCCCTCTCCCTATCCCACTATGATCAGCCTCCTTATATCAAAGAAAATATTCGACATTTGTTTTTTTGGGATTGGCTAACTTCACTTATCTTTATCTTCTCTAACTCCATCCATTTACCAGCAAATGCCATGATTTTGTTCTCTTTTATTGCTGAGTAATATTCCATTGTGTATATATGCCACTTTTTTAAAAAAAAATCCATTCATTTATTAAAGGGCATCTAGGTTGGTTCCACAGTTTAGCTATTGTGAATGGTGCTGCTATAAACATTGATGTGGCTGTGTCCCTGTAGTATGCTGTTTTTAAGTCCTTTGGGTATAGACCAAGAGGAGGGATAGCTGGGTCAAATGGTGGTTCCATTCCCAATTTTCCAAGAAATCTCCATACTGCTTTCCATATTGGCTGAACCAATTTGCAGTCCTACCAGCAGTGTATAAGTGTACCCTTTTCCCCACATTTTGCCAACAAGAGTATCTTCTTCTCCATCTTGTTGTTTGTATGCATAATAGCTGCCAATCTGACTGGAGGGAGATAAAATCTTAGAGTGGTGATTTGCATTTCTCTAATTGCTAGTGATGATGAACATTTTTTCATGTATTTGTTGATTGATTGTACATCATCTTCTGAGAAGTGTCTCTTCAGGTCCTTGGCCCATTTATTGGTTGGGTTATTTGTTTTGGGTTTTTTTTTTTTTTTTTTGGTGCTTAGCTTTTTGAGTTCTTTATATACCCTAGAGATTAGTGCTCTATCTGATGTGTGAGGGGTAAAGATTTGCTCCCAAGATGTAGGCTCTCTATTCAGCTCACAGATTATTTCTTTTGCTGAGAAGAAGCTTTTTAGTTTGAATCCATCCCATTTATTGATTCTTGATTTTAATTCTTGTGCCACAGGAGTCTTATTAAGGAAGATGGGGTCTAATCCCACATTATGGAGATTAGGGCCTACTTAGGGCCTCTATTAGAGGTAGGGTCTCTGGTTGTATTCTTAAGTCCTTGATCCATTTTGTGTTTTATCCATAAAACATGGTTTCTCAACCTGGGATCTATTAACCCAAGAAATTTTGTATAAGAATTTGTCTGTTTATGTGTAAATGTACTGCATACCTGCTATGAAACAGAAAACATATCCCCAAGGGTCTATGATCTCTCCCCTTTTTTTTTTGTTCCTCTAATTGTTAGCATTCCCTTGTTGATTTAGATTGTAAGCTACTAAGAACAGAAAAGTTTTTGGACTTTTTGGTTTTAGTTATGGTAGAAAGAGACTGGTTTTTGAGTTACCAGACTTGAGTTTAAACTTTTCACAAATTATCCAACTACCCACTTTCCTGTTCAGTATAATGGGGGTAACATTACCAAGACTCATACTAAGTAAATGAAATAATATTGTAAAATGCCTTGAATCTAGTAGTAGATAAGTATCAGCATCTGATCGACCAATCTATGAAGGTATTTGTGGTTTTACGTTATACCTTGTAATGATTACTAATGATTTATTAATGATTTAAAAGTAATAAATAAAGTCATACTTCTCAGAGAAAATAGATCCTCGTCTAAGCACAGGTATTGATCAAAGTTCTGTGGCTTATTAGGAGAGCATTCTGCCACAGCAGGGTCACTCAGTGAAGGGCCTGAGACTAAGTAGTACTTAAGGCTTCCATTACTGGTGCCAAATAATGTCAAAGGGTCCACAACCTTGACTTCTCTCTGAAACCATTCAGTATATTTTCAGGACCTAAGTATGAGAAACTCTTCTAATAAACAGAAGAGGAAGAATAGTTTAATCTCTCATGGACTAAATGGCTAGTAATCATATTTTATACCATAGTTGCTGAGCAGCTACTTCACACAAACCCCTGGCTTAGGTGTCTGCCCACCCTTCACAGGATATTAGGGTAGGAAATTTTCTAAGTAGGGGCTTCAAATTCTGGTTTTTCAACTTACTTATTTTAAAATCAGTTTCATCATCTGTAAATGGGGGATAATAACAAAATTCCTTTTATAGGTTTGTTGATAATTTAATGAGATACTTCACTTAAATGTCTTAGCACATAAAATGGGAGTAGTGGCACATGCCTGTAATCCCTGAAACTCAGGAGACTGAGGCAGAAGGATTGCCAGTTCGAGGCCAGCCTCAGCAATTTAGGGAGGCCCT